GCCAAAACTCTATTGTCGCTCCTACCTACAGCCACCTCCTATGAAAGGCCATAGATACATCAAGCAAGTGGAGGACTAACTCTATAGTCAAATCACCTAGGCCTCTCTAAGGGGAAACCTCCTTCTACTTCTCTATGTGTGAATCACGAACTCGGGCATGCCCGAGCCCTCGAGCTACATTAAATGGGCACGTGTAGATTGAAAATTCTTTTTTAATGCCATACACTTTTCTACTTCATTTCTCTTCTCCCTTTTATCTACTCTAAGCCTCGTCAACAAACCTTAAATGAACAAGTACATTTGAAATAAGGACGTCATTAGAAACAATGGCTTAATACGCAATAAAAAACACATAAAGATCAATCAAATTGGGCATGACTTATGGATAAAAGTCCAAATAAAATCAGTGCAAGGGGCATCCCCCTTTAATGAAGGAATGAAAGATGATCACAAATGCTGCAAAGACAAAAGCCTGGCAGGAAACCCACTAAGGGGGCTGCGCAAAAATTAGGGCAAGATCCGCTAGGAGACCCACAAACAAAAAGGGTAGCCTAGGCAAAAGTGAGGATCAAAGAAAAAAGAAAATGTCCGCTAGGGAACACATCTCAAGTAACCTAGGCAAAAGTTAGGACAAAGCAGCATCCCGAGCTGAAAACCGAAAGGCGGCTCGAGAAGATCATTTAATCAATATGCAATCCCAAGTCATCGCTTAACTTTGAAGGAAATAATAAGCTAACGCGGAAAATGATTTCCTCACTTTGAATGTGCTTGTTCATCAGCCTAAACCACTAGCCTACCTCGGCCAACCATTCTTCTATAAACCATTTTTGAAAAAATCCTTTCTACCAAAACTTTTACAAAAAAATATATATATATATATATATCCTCTTCCTCTTTTTCCTCTTGACCTATATGGCATTAAGATAAATTTGAGAGATACACGGAGTATGCACAGTGAACACTCACAAGGAGAAGATGGAGGTGTCCTGGAACAGAGTCTAGGTTCACCTGATCTAAGGGCTAACATATCATATCCAGTACAAGCGAGAGGGCTGAACCACACAAACCTTAGGTTCAAGAAGCAACACTGAATTCGACAAGGCTAAAGGCTAACAATCCATGTCATTGATCAATGCGCATAGATAAATTTTTTGAAATTAAAAATAAATTTGCATTGTAAGCATTAGCATAGAAGCATCATTGCATAACATGCATATGGCACAAGTGTGCACAAAAGGGTATAAGTTCACAAAAAAAAAATTTAAAAGAAAAAAAATCCAATCCATTTCTACTTTGCATTTTCTTTTGCATCCTTGCATTCTTTGTGTGTGTCTATCCATCACTTGCTGAAGGAATCAAGAGGCAGAAGCACTCGTAAAAAAGATCAACAACTATACAGTGCCTTAAAATCCGAGATCATGTCAAAAAGCATAGCCCCAACAAGGGCATTTCATACAAGTGGTTTCATATAACCACCAAGAAAAAAGACACATCAACAGCAAGACGAGATAGAACCGGACGAGGAAGAATAATCAAGTCCACAAGCATGAAGAGGCCATCATGTCCTACTCCTCAATTGAATTAAGGATGATTCAAGAGAATGTCAAGACTAGGAATGGTTTCCTTACCAAAGCTAGGAGTGGCTTACAAAATAATATTCATCATAAATATTAAGCAAATGATATCCTCATGGGATGGGATCCCTCCACCAATGATGATAACAAAAGATAAAACAGAAAAAGGCAAGCTTCATATATGTTGAAAAAGCCAAAGCATTTAGAAAAATAGCAGAAAAAGGCAAGCTTCAAACATGAAAAAGCCGAAGCTAAACAAATATAAATTCAGAAGAAAAAAAAAACCTACCACAATCAGGCACCTGGAAAGGCATCACAATACTCACATGGCAAGGGCAGCACCAGAATCTCTGTCAACCATCTACTTTTTTGCCCACCAGCACAAGCGCATCACTTACCAACAATCCTCGTCAAGGAGTAATCAGATCATCAGCACCAGCAGACGGCCTGTAGAGGCTATGAAAATACTACGGCCTGTAGAGGCTATGAAAATACTACGACCTGCAGAGGCTACGAAAATACTATGGCCAGTAGAGGCTACGAAAATACTACGGCCTGGAGAGGCTATGAAAATACTACGGCCTGGAGAGGCTATGAAAATACTCTCTCTTAAACAAGCTACAAATAAAGGGACACACCATCACAAGAAAAATAATGGAGCATCTACTCGAAGACTAAAGATCAGGTGTATGGTTTGTCACCCTTGTTACCCCATAGAGTATGCAACCCAACACTCAGCTACTCTAAAAGGTAATGATACAAGCAAATACACCTATCCAAGGGAAGCAACATAGAAGCACCAAAGAGACGAAGAGAAGGCCCGGACGAAATGTCTACGTCTTTTCTTGCCTTTGGAAAAGTAACACATTACTATTCCAAAGGACAAGTAAAGAGGGGTAGCTGTAGACACCCAATTTTGTTCGGGGGCATACAAACAAGGGAATGGACATCTGTTATGAAGGGAAGGAGCTCCCGAAGCATACAAACAACAAAATAGGACTTTAGAAGGCCCAAAAGCCCAAATAAGCTAATTTTAGAAAACTGGAACGGGCATTCCTTAATTGATGAGACTTTTAATTAAGGATTAGTCTGGCGTCCGGGCATTCCTTAATTGATGAGACTTTTAAAAGGATGTTTAAACAATAGGTCGCAAGATCAAAAATTTTCAGGTTGCGACATGGAGGAGGGAGTTGGGGAAGCGGGGGTCGGAGGAGGAGGAGGGGGAGGTGGCGATGGAATCGATGAGGAAGAGGGTTTGGGGATTTGAAGAGAGGGGGAGGGGGTTGCTGATGAGTGAAACGAAAAAAGTAGGGTCTCATTTCTACATCAGTTATAAGCAAAACCGATGTAGAACAACTCCCAGATTTCATTTCTACATCGATCATAAAAAAAACCGATGTAAATATGTTTGTATTTTCAATTTATTTACAATTTTGCCACCGCGTTTATGATTTACATCGGTTCTACTAGAACCGATGTAAATATGACGATGTTAAACAATATTTTTGTAGTAGTGTTATAAGACACATTTCCAAAGTTCCTGGAGAAAACTTTAGGTGCAATGTATCCCAAGGTTCCCCTAGCAACTGTCATGGAGACCAAACTAGGATTCTTGGAACACAATTTGGCTAAGCCAAAATCAGAAATTTTTGGAGTGAAGTTTTCATCGAGCAACACGTTGTGAGGATTAATGACAAAATGAATAATGGGATGGTTACAACCTCGATGAAGATACTCAATTCCTTTAGCTATGCCAATAGCAATTTGTTGTAGCTTCTCCCAGCCAAGGAAACGGTCCTTGTCATCTGGTGGAAATATGAAACTTTGTAGCGAACCTTTCGGGAACAAACTGTAGACAAGAGCGCGATGGATTCCATCGGCACAGAAGCCACTACAAGAAAATTGTTAATTAGCGAGGGATTTTAGCGTGGAAAAATTTGTCTCGCTATTCCCTCGCTAAATAGCGACAAATTAGCGATAAAAAATATTCTCTAGCTAAGTCGTAGCTAAATTGCGAGAAACATAAATTTGGTCGCTAATTGCTCACAAATAGTTAGCGAGAAACAATATCTCTCGCTAATGCTTCGCAAAATGTCTAGAATATTGAATTTGTTTTGGCAAGGTTGAGTTTCCTTCGCTAATCTCTCGCAAAAGAGAAGAATATAAAAGTTATTTTAGCGAGGGAATAATTTGGTCGCTAATCTGTCACTATAATTAAAATAGTAAAAGTTACTTTAGCGAGGGAAATGTTCTCTCGCCAATCCTTCACAAAAGTGGAGATATTAAAAGTTTATTTAGCGAGGGAAATTATTTCTCTCCTTTCCCTCGCAAAGTTGACTATATTAAAATTATTTTTTAAATAAAATAAAATTTTTATTATATAATATTAATTACATATATTAAAGATAATATATGAGTATTAAAACAGTAGTTAATAGATGTAGTTAATGTATTTTGTTAATTATAAATATTTAAATAAAATAATATTTTTATTATATTAATTACATATATTAAATGTAATATATGAGTATTAAGATATAATTTATATAAAAATATTTTATAATATCTACATGAATTAGTGTTTTATGATATAATAGTGAATTGTGTTATATATGTAAGGGATAAAAATATAATTTATTTGACATTTTAACATATGAAGAATGAATAATGTAATACTTATGTTACTTATAGAAAGAGAGCGTAATTTACATTAATTACATTAAATTAAATGTACTAAATTGTATATTTTAACATAAAAGTGTGCTTAAAAATTAATTACATTAAATTAAATGTATTAAATTGTTAATTCTTAATTAATTGATAATATAATTTTTTATACTATCAATCCTATAAATTAAACTCTATCAATTACTTACTCCAAATTTCTCCTTTAAGAATAAATTTCTTGCACACATTTAATACTCTTGATTAGCAGACACCATTGATTAGGAGAACCAATATTAGTTAAATATATATATATATATATTTATTGTAGGTTTATTTTAGTTTTTTTATACTATATGATTATCTCTACAAAAAACAAGGTTTTCATGATACATCACCGAATATAAATTAGTACGTACTATATCTTATTCTTATTCATTACTGAATTTTATATATGTCAATGTCACAATAAAATCGTACGTGTATATTATATTAAAATTTTAGCATTTTTTTGACATCATAGATTTTTCTTTTTTTTTATTTTTACAAAAAGTTATATAGCTAAAATTTATGTAATTTACATCATAGCCTTATCTGACTGAAATTAAGTCACGCAGACGGCATGAGGCGATGGTGGTTTTCTAACTGAAATTTCCCGCCATGGGGAAACGAGAATATAACAGAATGCATGACAATTGTGAGTGTGAGTGAGACACTGAAATGAAGAATGCAAAAGCTTTGGAGCGAAGACGAAACCCTCTTTCGGATCTCACCAATTCTATCCCTTCCAAACCCAACCCCTTCCATCGTCGTCTTCTTCCTCTTCCACATTCAACACCACACGCGGTACTCTCTTTTTTATTCAATCACATGTTAACTATGAATTTTCCTAAATTCCACATTGCTATATTAACCATAACTCTTTCGTACTTTTCGAATTCCATGCTTTGAATTCAGGTACAGTTGGCCTTCATGTTTCTGAGCCAATTTCCGCATTCTGCAACCGAATTCATACTCTCAATGAAAAGAAAAGGAAAATTAAAAAAACAATGACGAATCCAAAGTTCTCTACTATTCGGTAACATTAACTATCCCTCCGTTTTTTAGTCATACTAAGTTCAATACTACAATGATTAAGGGAGCAAAGTTTAATTATTACTTTTCTTCTATTTTCCATAAAATTCCACCGATGAATTACTCGGTTGGCGTCTATGTTTCTTTCGTTCCAAACAGAGATAAAAGTGATGGAGTTGAGCTTGAAGGTTTGGACCTACCTAAGGCTAGTCTGTTAACAGTCCGTTGCAGGAAGGTAAATAATATGACTACAACGGTTCCATGCAAAACTTTCAACTCTTCTTAATTTGTGTGTGTTGAAACTTGCCATAAGTATTTTCCGTAGATTGGTTAATGTTTACTCTGTTTATGATGGTTCTGCAGATTTCTATGGAATAATTGATTCTGATGTGTTTGTCATTACTCATTGGATTAGTTTTTATATATGAAAAATTAACTCTATAAATGTTAGAGAAATCTTCCCAATTGTTGTCTAATCGGTAGAAATCAAAGGAAAAGTTGTTTTGTGTAGAATTGTTTTGGTAGCCTTTAGTATTTTTATTTTATTTGATGCAAGTTGATGAAACAATATATTTGATATGCAAAATACAGGTACTACAATCTTGATATCACAACTAAACAATTATGATAGTTATAGTATGAAAAATGCAGGTAAAGACGAATATATGAATATTAAAAATAAAATTGCGACAAAATAGCGAGGGATTAGCGATGATAACCAAAACATAACAGTAAGGGATCTGCTAGGAAATAGCGAGGGAAAAAAGAGTAAATAGCTAGGGAAATATAGCGAAGGAATAGCGAGACAATTGCTAGGAAAATATTGCGAGAGAATAGCGAGAAAATTGCTAGGAAGTATTGCGAGGGAATAGCGAGATAATTGCGAGGGAAATATTGCGAGGGAATAGCTAGACAATTGCTAGGGAAATATTGCGAGGGAATAGCGAAACAATTGCTAGCGAAAGGTAGCGAGGGAATAGAGAAGGGTTTGCGAGGGATATTCAGCGAGGGAATTGCGAGGCCTTAGCGAGGGAAATTAGCGAGGGATTAGCTACAAATTAGAGAGGGATATTTTGCGACACCTTAGCGAGGGAATAGCGGGGAAGCTTGATCGCAAATTAGCGAGCGATATAGTTAGCATACTTAATATAATTAGCGAGGAACTTAGCGAGGGATTGGCAACGGATTTTGCTATAGATCAGCGAGGGATTAAATCCCTCGCTAATTAGCTACCTGTATTTAGCGAGGGAATGGTCTCTCGCAATTCCATCACTATTCCGTCGCAAATCTGATTAGCGAGAAATCAGAGAAGAAATAACGAGGGAATATTCCCTCGCTAATATGTAATTTTCTTGTAGTGAACTAAGCAAACGAACCATGTTGATGTGGTGCATTTTGGCCATAATTCTCACTTCACTGATGAACTCTTTCCATTCTCCTTTTGAGTTATTAAGGATCTTCACAGCCACCAGAATCTCATTTGAAAGTTTTCCTCTAAACACAGTCCCGTGAGCCCCTTCACCTAGCTTTTCTTTAAAACCATCGATGATTCTTTTCAAATCAGCATAGGTAAACCTTGCAGGATTTTCTGCCCTATAATCCTCTAAGAACTTCTCCACTCGTGCTTGGTCTTCTTCGTTTCTTCTAAAATAGAGGGCGATCTTAATGAGGGCAACGACCACCAGCCCCAAAAGAATCGAACCTACAATAAGAGTAACTGTTAGTTTATGAATTATTAAATAGTAAAAGATTATTTGATTGGTAGAAAGAATGGGGAGGCAAATTGATAGACCATGGGCCAAGGGCCCAGTCACTAGAGCTATGGCTAGAAGAATTCAAGAAGAGTTGGACCTCTTGAAGACTATTGGGCTTTTCAAGCCCAAGGTATTTTTCACTTGGACCACTCAATCATAAAGAGAAGGCCTAGTTCTACTTGTGTATATTGTATAGTTTATACATAGTCTCTTGTATAGGTTATTTTTGCCTTTGTATTTGTGAGGCACTTTACTTGCTTCTTCTAGTGTTTGTATATTGATTTTTGGGTAGGCTACTTGGAGAGTTTAACTCCATTTAACCTCCCTAGTTGATACATTCATTTTGTATTTTTTTAGTAGGGAAAAGGGGGTGACATTTAGCAAAGCTAGGGAGTGTGTTTAGAAATTGGGCCTGAGTCGGGCCTAGGCAAAACTTTGCATATTGGACTCATTTTACTCCTAATTTTTCATAGATTTGATTTAGCTAGGTCTCATCATCATTTGATGAACCTAACTAAAGAAAATCAACAATTTTTGAAATAATTCAAAGGAGGAAATGAAGCCATGGCCGCTTATCTCACTTACCTCTCCTTGGCCGAAATTTCTAAGCTACACCTCTTGGTTTTTGAAGCTTCTCCTCCAAGTTTCTAAACCTTGGTAGGTTTGGCTGACCTTACCATGGTTCTTAAGTGAACCATGGTCAAGGTTAGCTTCTCCTACAAGTTTTAGAAACCATGGATGGTTAGCTACACCTTACCATGGTTCCTAGTGAACCATGGTTAAGGTTAGCTTCTCCTAGAAGCTACCTCTCCCTATATATTTGTAAATCCCTCTCTTGTAATCACTTTTGGACATTTATGAGAAGAAGAATTCAGAATTCTCTCTCATTTTTCAAGAGTCAAATTCGTGTGAAACTTCTCCTAGTTTTCTCTCAAGGTTCCTTCTCCAAGAAGCTTGGTTCCTCAAGCTTTTTCACTTCTCCAAGAGGTGGCGGAACCTCCCTAGGTGATTCTCCTCCATTGGAGATTGCTTCAAGAAGCTTCAAGTGTTGATTTGAAGATTTACCTCAAGAGTATTCACGGTCCTTTGCATGGAATACTTGAAGAACATCAACCTTCTCCAAGTAGCTCCATCACAAATTTATAATGATAGGCTTAGTTGAGAAGAAAACTAGTTTAGAGGAATAGTTGGAATAGATTTGAGTAGTGGAAATGACTTACTAGTTGCTTAGTATACAAATGTTGGGTACATGACCTATTTATAGGCCTCAACACCACATTCATGTTTTATGTAAAAAACTCTAGAGATATCTATTTCTAGAGTTTTCTATCTATATATAATTATCTACATGATTCTAGAATTTGTATCTAGTAATTACTAGCATACCTATGTATTTTTCTATAAGAATCTAGATTATTCTAGAAGTTTGTATCATATTTTAACACTCCTCCTTGATACAAATTTCTCTAACTCCTATCATAGTGCGAAACTGTTCGAATCTTGCTCTCGGCAATGCCTTTGTGAATATGTCAGCAACTTGCTCTTCGATCTTACAATACTCCATCTTGATTTCTTTAGTTGTTTCTGTTTCTTTGATAAAGTGATATTTAATTGCAATGTGTTTTATCTTGCTATGATTTAATGGATTTTTTGTCATTGTTATTGCTGATTTATTGTCACAGTAGATTGTAGTAGGCCCATCTTGTTGTTCTCCCATTTCTACAAGTATTCTCCGTAGCCAAATTGCTTGACTTGTAGCTTCAGCCGCTGCAACATATTCTGCCTCTGCGGTTGATTGTGAAACTGTTGCTTGCTTTTTTGATGCCCAAGAAAATATTCCTGATCCGAGTGAGCAAGCATAACCAGAGGTGCTCTTCATGTCATCTACCAATCTTGCCCAATCACTATCGGTGTATCTGAGCATACTTGAGTTGGTCATTGTTTTGTACCAAATATCAAACTCCTTCGTGCCTTGTAGGTATCTTAGAATTCTTTTAGCTACTCCAAAGTGAATTTGGCTTGGGCTTTGCATAAAGCTTGATAAAAGACTTACAGCATACATTATGTCTGGTCGTGTGGCTGTTAAATATAGTAAGCTTCCAATCAAACTTTTGTAGCGAGATGCATCGGCATCTAGTGCTCCATCATCTTTTTGTAACTTCTCCTTTGTCACAAGCAGAGTAGTGACAGTCTTGCAACCACTCATCTTGAACTTCTTCAAGAGAGCTTCAGTGTATTTCTTTTGACAAATTAATATCTCTTTCTTCTTTTGACTTACCTCAATACCAAGGAAGTAGTTCATCAAGCCAAGGTCAGTCATTTCAAATGTCTTCATCATGTCTTCTTTGAATTCTGTCATCATCTTTATATTGTTCCCTGTGTAGATAAGATCATCTACATATAAGGAGACAATGAGAGTGTCATACTGACCTTGGGTCTTAATGTATAGTTTGGCTCACTCTTACTCCTCCTAAATCCATGATCAGTGAAGTATTGATCTATTCTGCTATACCATGCTCGAGGAGCTTGCTTCAAACCATATAAAGCTTTTCTAAGCCTTAGTACTTTGTCTTCATTGCCCTTGTTTATGAAGCCTTGTGGTTGCTCTACATAGATCTCTTCTTGTAGTACTCCATTGAGAAAAGCAGACTTGACATCTAGTTGGTAGATATCCCAGCCATTTTGTGCCGCAAGATCTATTAAAGCTCTAATTGTATCCAGACGTGCTACTGGGGCAAATGTCTCATTGTAGTCAACTCCAGCTTGTTGTGAATAGCCCTTAGCTACCAACCTTGCCTTGAGCTTTTGTATGGTGCCATTTGGATTGAGCTTTGTCTTGTAAACCCATTTTACCCCGATGATATCTTTGTTTTTTGGATAGTCTACTAGATCCCATGTGTTATTTTTCTCAATCATTTTTATCTCTTCTTCCATAGCCTTGACTCATACTTGTTGCTTTGATGTTGCTTCAAATCTTTCAGGTTCAAGTGTGGCCAAGTTGCAGGTTTCATATATATCCGCCAAGGATCTAACTCGTCTTGGAGTAGACTCTGGTGATGGAGTTTGTTGCTGTGGAGGAGAATGAGGCTCACTTGAGACTTTTGTAGTTTCTTCTTCTGGTTGTTGAATTGAGATAGGAATGTTTTTCTCTACTTTCTCATCATTCCAATTGCAAGTCACATTTTCATCAACTTCAACATCTCGACTAATAATCAACTTCTTGGTTTGCAAGTTGTAGACGCGGTAGCCTTTTGACTGTATGCTATATCCAAGGAAGATACCTCGTACTATCTTGTCTTCTAGCTTGTGCCTTTTCTCTTCTAGAACGTGTATGTAGCAAATAGATCCAAATACCCTTAGGTGTTTTGTTGATGGTTTTTTCCCGCTCCAGGCTTCAATCAGAGTCTTATCTTGGACTGTCCTAGTTGGGCATCTATTAAGTATGTAGACAGCAG